GATTCCCTCACGTTCGACCTTGTTCTTGTTCTTCCATATCTTGACTATAATCTCCTTTTGATTGGCCAAGGTACCTCCACCCTCACTTGCACTGTTACCTTTTGGCCTTCCTTGTGTTTTTTAGGACATTCTAACCCGGAAGATTCTTGGTTACAGTGTTAGGCGAGGGAAACTTTATTATTTGGAGTTGACAGAAAAAGGGGGGTCAAAGCTCAGTCAAGTGAATCAAACAAGAAGTGAAGATAAAGCTCGAGCAATTGTATGGCTATGGAACCGAAGGGTAGGGCATAACTCTCGTTTGGCTATCTTAACAAGTTGCAGCCACATTTGTTTTCAGGTAGGAATTTCGATTTTCTTTGTTAAATTTGTTAACAGGATAAGAGGCATCATATTTCTTATTTCCCAAGTTTGAATAAAAGTTCAGAGCCTTTTTACAGCTATTCCCTCGGATGTTTGGGTCCTGCAACAAATCCTGTGTAAGAACAACATTTAAGGAATTTCATAAAATGGTGATGACTCAATACCAAAGACAGATTCGTACACTTCAGTCTGATAACCATAAATAATTTGAGAATCAATTTTTAGGTGCTTTTCCGAGACACTATGGAATTCAACATCAAACCTCTTGTAGCTATACTCCACAACATAATAGATTAATAGAGCGAAACAATAGATAGATTCTGGAAATAGTTGGGGCTTCTCTCTTTGGCTGGAATATGTCGCAGGTGTACTAGAGTATGGCTGTGAAATCAGCTGCTTATCTAATCAATCGAACATCATCCAGTGTGATAGATTTCCAAACTCCCCCATAAAAGATGCAATCTTTGCTTTCTCTTCCTCATCTCCCAAATCTTGAACCAAGAGTGTTTGGACGTGTAGTTTATATTCATGTGCCTAGGGTCCTGCAAAAATAAACTGGATCCATGTTCGAAATGGTGTGTCTTTGTAGGATACTTGGAGTTTTAGAAGGGATATTGGTGTTATGATCCTCATAACCGAAAGTTACTTGTGACCTTGGATGTTTCATTTTATGAATCAAAAGCCATACTATTTAAGGGAGCCTATGGGTCTTCTCTTCAAGGGGAGAGTCACAAGGAAGAGAATGACGATAACGGCAAAGGTGGAAAAGAATTGTTCGAATTGGAAGAACATGGAGGATGTTTTGAAGGCTACTTAGAGGATACAGATCCGCAGTTATGCAATGATCAGACCGTTTTTATCAATGGTGATCAGGTTATCTCTAGCAATGAAGTTTCTATCAATGATGATCAAGTTATCTCCAGTAATGACCCCTCTTTATCTATAGAGTTGCCCACGCTGCACCATTAACACAAGGATCAACACAGAATGTTCTCCCTCGGGTAAACCCGCATTCTATTCTTGATGAATCAAATAACTTTCCTATCATTGCAGATGATGTAGTCCAAACATATCAACAAAGATCAAATAGAGGAGTGCCTAAGAAATAATATGGCCCAATCCCAAAGCTAAGACTAAGTATACATGTTCTGTTAATCAATTATCATATGTATCTATTCCTAGGAATATGCAAGATGCAATGACAGATCCAAAGTGGACTAGGACAATGAATGAAGACGTGGAGGCTCTTAAAAAAAATAACACTTGAGAAATTTACACATTACCCAAAGGGAAGAAGACATTCGGGTGTAGATGGATGTTCATAGTGAAATTGAAGGCTGACGGTAGTATTAATAGGTACAAATCAAGGTTAGTTGTAAAGAGACATACCCAATGTATGGAATGAATTATCAAGAGACAAGGTTAGTTGCAAAGAGACATACACAGAAGTATGGAATGAATTATCAAGAGACCTTTGTTACGGTTGCCAAAATTAATACCATCCATATTCTTATGTCCATAGCAGGAAATCAAGATTAACCTTTACAACAATTCAATGTTAAGAATATGTTTTTCAATGGAGATCTAGATGGAGAAGTCTACACGGACTTCCCACCTGGACCTAAATGCAAGTCTTCGAGCGAAGTTGAAGTGTAAGAAGGTGTTGTATGGTCTAAAGGAGTCACCTCGGGCTTAGTTAAGAAGGTTCACCTCCACAATGATGGAATTTGACTATAAGCAAAGTAATTAAGATCACACTTCGTTTGTAAAACACAAAGAAGGGAAAGTAATAACATTAATTGTGTATGTGGGTGATATGGTCTTGACAAGGAGAGGAGCATTACAAACATATTTGGCATCAAGATTTGAAAATGAAAGATCTTGACAGACTTAAATACTTTTTAGAAATTGAGGTTTCGAGATCTAAGGCTGGAATTTCCCTATCATAACGGAAATATGTGACAGACTTGTTATCTAAAACTGGAATGTTGACTTGCAAACCTGGAGAGACACTTATAAAGATGAACCATAAACTTGGAGAGTATGAAGATCATATACCAGCATACAAGGGGCATTATCAACAATTAGTTGGGAAACTAATTTGTCTATCTATCTATCTATCTATCTATCACACACAAGGTTGAACATAGCCTATGCAGTAAGTGTGATGAGCCCGTTCATTCATGCATCAATTGAAGCATATATGAATGCAGTGTATCAAATCTTAAGGTATTTGAAGAGTGCATCAGGAAGATGATTGCTATTCTCTAAGAACAGGGGGTTTATGGAATCAAAGACTATACAGATTCTGACTGGGCAAGGAATCAAACTGATAAAAGGTCTATATTAGGCTACTTTACTTTCATAAAAGGTTACCTTGTCACTTGAAGAAGTAAGAAACAGAAGGTGGTTACATAATCAAGTGCGGAAACTGAACACCAAGGTATGATTCATGGTATGTACAAGTTGTTATGGGTTAAGAATATATTACAAGATTTGGGAATTAATTATAAGAAGCCTATGAGTCTACACTGTGATAATAAGGCTGTCATTGAAATTGCAAGTAATCTGTTTCAATATGATCATACAAAATATGTTGAAGTTGATTATTATTTTATTAAAAAGAATCTTGAGCAAAAAATCATAAAATTTCTATTTGTTTGGTCTGAAAATCAGTTAGCTGATGTACTCACGAAGACAGTCTCAGGAAGAACATTCCATTAAGCAATTAGCAAGTTGAGCATGATTAATATCTATGCTCCAGCTTGAAGGTAGGTGTCAGCATAAATAGTATTTCATATTCTGTCAGCATGAGTTGTATTTCCTATTCTGAAATAGCTATTAGTTAGGCTAATTGATTGTGATTATAATCCCATAGTTTTAGGGTGATCTTCTAATGTTGGCAACAAGTATCCTGCCTTCTACATTTGTATATTTGTGTGTGTGTGTGTGTATGATCTTCAACCAATGAAATGATCAGCGAGTTCAGCTTCATGTGTGCACAACCCGTAACGTACCCTGACAAAATGTGCGGTTAATTTCGCCAGTACCAGCAGACAAGTTTGAAATATATTAAACTCCATAATGCCTTCCAAACGTCTATGTATCGCCATACAGGAGGTTATTAGACTTGTATGCACTTCAAGTTTTTTTTTTTTTTTTGACATCTTCAACAGACGGAAATCTCCAATCAACCATTATCATTTTCCTTCTGCTTGGACTGCTCCTTTCCCCTAATACAATGTCACCATCGAAGTCAGAATGCAATACAATCCTACAACGTTATCAAATAATAAACACGAAGGAAAGGCAGAAAACCCTGAACTAGATAGTTCAAGCTTCCTTACAATCACAAATTTCTATTTTGACACAGCAACACCGAACACAGCAGTATGTTTATCAAGTAAACGAGAACACTAGAGAGATGGAAACTGCTACACAATAAAACAACATTCTTTTTGGATGAAGCCGGCATTGAAAAGGTTATCCGAGATAGAAGCAACTGTATTTAATGTATATGAATATGGTGATTAGCTCAAATGATTCCTTGGACGGACTGCCTCATTTCTGGCAGCAGGGCGTCACTCTAGCTCTGGAACAGATTACCGTTGCCTGAAGCCAGCATTGATTTAGTTTGGCAAGGCATTCCAGCTGCCAAAGTGTTCGGCCCACAAAACAGACAACTCAATTTTCATCTATGATGCTGTTAAACAATTCTGCAACCTCTTTGTTATCTGGTAACACAACACAGAAACCTGAAAATATCACGCCTGGAAAGTCACATGGTTTCAGTAGCAAGGATCTCAGCAAACACATAGACCCCAGAAAAGGGCGTCCAAACAATGTATTCATGTTGTGCATTCACATTCTACAATCAAAAAGGCTTTAGCTTGGCGAGGACATTAAGTTACAGAAAATAGTACTAACTACTTGAGCGGTCTCATCCAAAGTATATGCTGAGTTGAGAAACAGAGATGACAATCTGAAGATTAATTTTTTGAGGCTGGGTTCCATAAGTCATCCAGACTCTAGTCAGGAGCACTTGGGTTACTGATTAAAAGGATAAGGGATTGCAGATTCTTGTGTTTACCAGCAGCTTCGAAGTGGGGTTCAAGATGGCTCTCTCTCTCTAGTTTACGATTCAGTAAAGATACAAAGAGGGCTCGGCCAAATCTGTTCAAGTTACAAGGATCAGTTAAAGGCCAAGGGCAAGCAATTCAAGGTTCTTGCTTAGAAAATTATGCCTTGGCCAGGATGATGGGCTGAATTTCATTTCATCCGGCTGCAATTATTTGAGGAAAAAAAACTGAAGAGTTTAAATGTTTAAGGTTTTAGATGTCAGTCGCAGCCAAAAGAGCAGTGTTCTGCCTTACGTGGAACAATTACATGGATTGGAAGGTAGGTGACGATGACCGCAATTCCCTCTGGAAGATAGAGGGAATTGGTTTATGCAATTCCACAGGAGAGAGCTTTCAACTGGATTTGATTTATGCAATATATAAGGCTCTTATCAGCAAGCTTGGTAAGCAGAAGTCCTATACTAAAAAAGTAAAGAGTTCATAAACCTATATGTTAGCATAACCAATATACGGAAATATCAGAGGAAAATATTGGAAAAGAAAAGGAGAAACTTACCTCCAACTGAGCCATGCTCAATTAATCTAGAGTCAAATTCAGCAACAATATACTCTAGGGCAAATTTCCCTTTTTCTCAGTTTTGCATTTCTTTCTCCATTTTTTTCAACTCCGCCGCTTGAGCCTTCATAGTTGCTTCCAGCAACTTCTCTTGCTGCACAGCAGAATTTAATTAGACAACTTTCGAGTATAAACTGATATACTATATAAGTACAGTAACATCACTAAAATACCTGCTTCTTTCTTAGCTTCTTTTCTTCCATTAAGTGTATGCTTTCTTCCTTTTTTGCCACTGCTTCATCTGTGCTGTTTTCCTCGTCAGGGTTAACTTTAGTTTTCCTTTTCTATTTCATGGTGTTAGCCATCTGCTCCCTGCTAAAACTTTCTTTTTCGGGGCAATCATGTATCTGACTCGAAGTTAATTATTAAGAAAATGTAAATCAGTAAATTCAGGCACATATTCAACTTACTTTAAGCACCACGCATATCGAAATAGAAAACAAAGCCCTAATTAATTGCAAATAAAAAAAGAAATAATTCAATTCATACATTAGGAAGAACCCTGACTAACCAGAGAGGAGGTTATGATCGGAATTTGGGGTGGGGGGGGGGGGGGGCCTGGGGGGAGTGCATTTTACAATGGAGACATCGGGCATGGGAGTCTCGGGAACGAAAGAGGGGGATTTGAATGGGGTCGAGTTGGGGTTTTTTGAGGGAGAGATGGGAGTGGTGTTCTTTGGTTCTCTTCTTCCTCTTCTTCTTCTTCATCGGAGAGGATTGTTGGATTCCACGTTCAACACCATAGAGAGAGAGAGTGCGTGTTGCTGGTTCGGTTTGTCTTTGAATAAGCGCGGGATACAGGAAAACAGAGTAAAGGGGGGAGAAGGCCCCTCTTTTTTCTTTTTTTATATCACAATGCACATAGCTCTAGTTGAAAAACAAAATTATTTTGAAATTTCATATTATGATTTAATTTAATTTTTTTATGATAAAAGTCAAGTTAGTTTCATTAATAAAATATATATTAAAATATGAATATAACATGTTGGATTTGGTTATTTCTTGTACATGGCTTTGAATGCCTCCATAACTAGATTTGATATAAAGTTACATTAATACAATCATTAAAATAAAATATAAAATATTATCTCTTGTGAATTTTCTTGGCTTAACTTTTTAATATTTCAAAGATATTTTATGCTCACTCCTCAATAATTCACTTATCACCATATTTTTTTATTTTTAAAATCACAACGATTGAACAAATATCAATTTAATTTACTATTATATATATTTTCAAAAGTATTGTCTATTATTAAAGTCTCTATATATTTTTCTAAATCATATTTCTTGTGACAATTCAAATTGCATACTTTAATGCAACATTAAAGGTATCTTTAATCAGTGAGGTAAAAATAAATAAATAAACTAATTTTTTATTTTTTCTTTCCTAATTTTAGATCTTGAAAAAATTATTTTTCATTAAAAAAAATATTTTTATATATCTATCAAGAACTCAAATTAATTGATGATGATTCAAGATCTCAGGTTCATTAAATTCATAAGGCTTGCATTGATTTGTTATGAGTTTGGATTTCAAATGCTATTTTTACAGCATAAAATTATTTAATAATGAAAAATCCTAGGTTAAAAATTGTTAGCAACTTTTAAGAATAGTTCATTTGATAAAACAAATTATCTTATACTCAGGCATTTTAACTTTTATCCTTAAATAAAAAAAAAGAAAAGAAAAAAAAGTGGTGAGTTCATTAGTTGTATAGTATTATAATAAAGCAATATTAAGGTAGAAATTATTAAAATGTCATCTCAACTATATATAAGTGGTGTATGGTAGAGTTTTTAATTGAAACTTTATGTTTGTGGTTGTGCTCGACCTAACTATACAAAGATACATAATAGAATAACATATTAAATAACAATGATGATGGATAATAACAATAATGATAGATAATATAGAGGGTTTTTTTTTAAAAAAAGTATTTTTTCAGTTAAAAAAACAACAATAATAATACTCTTCTTTTCTTTTTTTTTTCATTGCAAATGTTAATAAAAAAAATCATAAAATATTTAAGTCAGAGAAACCACACATCCTAGAAAAAAAATTCCATCCATTTAGTTTGGTATTATAAAATTTTTAAAGATAATAAAAACTTTAAATTGAATTTGGATTTTTCACAATTACCTTTATAGTGAGTGAGGTATTTAGACTTTATTGTCCTGGATTTCTCTACAAATTAAATCTCTTATAATGATAGGTGACCTATAGTGCTTCAGTTAATAAATTGTAGGAGATAAATAAGGTATGGTAAAATAAAAAAAATATATAAGAACAAAGAGTATAGAAGGGTGTAGCATATATTGTGTGATATGTTCTCTCGTTATCCTTTATATAACTGGCCTGGTGTATTTATACTAAGATCATATATTTTACTCAACAAATAGTAGATTAACTTTCTTGCAAGAAGTAGGGTAGCTTACCTACATTCTTGTTGAAGAAAGTTATTGTGTTGCCATTGTATATCATTTTTCTTAACCAATTAGAATCAAAAGACTATATACACAACAAATAAAATGATTTGATCATGTGGGTTTTTTCATACGAATAGAAAAGTATTCTTCTAACCAAGACATAGACTAATTAAATGATTTGTACAAGAGTTAACCTATAAAATATTTTATATGATATAGTTACTTCTTAAATGAGCAATTGGACGACACTCCATAGACCTTCATGAGGTAAATAGAGAATTTTTTAGTGCTTAGTAAATTGAAAAAGATAAATATGATATAGTAAAGACAACAAGAATAAAGATTGTGGGAGGGTGAATGTTACGATGGTAATGTGTTGTGTAATATGTTCTCTTTGTCCTGTGTTTTAAATGTCTTAGTGTATTTATACCCCTTGACCACTAAGATCACATGATTTACATGAAGAAAAGTAGAGTAGTTTACATATATTCTTATGGAAAAAATTTATGATGTTGCCACTATATATCATTTTTCCTAACCAATTAGAATTTATAGACTATGTACACCACTAATAAAATAATTTGATCATGTGGGTTATGTTAGGAGAATATAATAGTATTTTTCTAACCGAGACATGAATCAATCAAGTGATTTATACATAATTTAACCTATGAAAAATCTTACAAGCCACAATTCTTTTTAGAATAGGTAATTAAATGGTGTTGCATTAACCTTTGAGAGGTTATAACATTATATTAGTAGGTGTGTTAATACCAGGCTTTATAAAAATTTATATGGGACTAGAAATTAATCCTAGAATAGTTAAAGGTTGGTTTAAGACCTAAATAACATAGCAGTTTGTTGTTGAACCAAGGCATAAATAGTTTAGCGAACAAGGTTGTCTACTTGGCTTGGGCTAAGGCACATAACTTAGGGACAAGGTTATCCACATAGGCCAAGTCTTATTAATAGATAACAAGTTATCCATTATTGTCTTGTGTGTTACTCCATCATTTGTCTATAATCTTTGAAATTAGATTCAATTTAAAAGAATCATAAATGTTTTCTTGTCAAGTTATGAGGCATAATAGAATGTTTTCTTGTCAAGTTATGAGTGTTTTCTTGTCAAGTTATGAGGCATAATATTAACAATGCTTTGTGACAGTGAAAGTTTTGTCATAATAAGAAATGTGACAATGATAATAAAGGATAAATGAAGATTTTTTCATAAGTTTAAGAGCTCATTGTTTGGAGAAGTAGAGACTTCATCGAAGACATGGAGATTTTATATGGATATTTTATTTAAAGATATGAAGATTAATAATACCCTAGAGAAAAACATATGAAGGGAAAAAAATTCTTCATTGAAAAGTTCATAAGATCTATCTCAATATCATCTTTAAAAATTATCTAATCTCAGGCAATGAATAATGGATACGATGACCTTTTTTTAGGATTGCATTTTCTTAACAAATTATTAGAGGTAACTCTTAATAATAAATCTTTCTCTCTCTTTTTATATGGCACACTTGTCCTCGGTGTCACACCCATTTTCTTAGTAAGAAAGAAAAAGTTTTATTAGGTTTTCATGTGTTTGTGTTACTCATTGTATATGGGTGTTGCATAAATTATTTTTTCTTAATGACAGTTAATTCTTCAATATGAGTGGTGGCTAAAGGTATAGTCATGAGCTCAGGAATGTTAATTGAACATGAATGGATCTTTGTATGTTCTTTTTAGATACCTTAAGGTTGATCAATGGCTCTTGAGAGGTTTATAATTTTTTTTTATTAGAAACAAGGGTGTTATTCTCTTGTCATTCCTACTCCTTTTAATCAAATATGATTTTTCATTGCATGTTTCACTTTGAGAAGACTTTAGTCATGAAGAGTATATGATCATTTCTATAAAGAATAGTTGTAGACTCTACTAATCAAGGTTTTTATGGTAATAGATTCGAGTAGACTGTTCACATTGAGCATTTTTTTTATAAACCTTTATAGATATGCTCCACTACTCTTATCTTTTTGGTCATGTGATGACAAAAAACCTAGTTATGCCTTTTTTTACCTGGTATACTTATGCTTAAGCAGGAAATTAGTTTTGTATAAAAACTGTCAAAATCAAGGATAGAGTCAAGCCCTAATCTTCCACTTAATAATGGTGATATTCCTTTTCAAAAACTTGTATCGTTATTAATTTCATTTTACATCATAGTTTTTTTGGATATGAATAAAACTTGAAGAGATATCTAAAATGATAGCCATTCTTATGGTTGGGATTTGTTGAGGTTCTACGTTTTAATCTTTGAAGTTTACATATGTAGCATTCAATTTGGAGAGGGGTGGCTATTTTATAAGGTTGAGTATTCTCATTTCTACTTTTGTGCATGTTGTTTCTCGTAGTCCTTCAGAAACTAAGGTTATTTATATGCACTCAATAGTTTATATAATATAGTTTGATGTTGTATCACTCGTAGAGAGGATGGAAGAGTGTAAAGTTATTGTTGTTTGGCTACAATAACATTAGTAAGCACTCCTAAGTTATGGAAAAAACTTTTGGATGTGTCATAACTCATTTTTAGGTTACTTTTAATTTTTTTTTATCTCTTTTCCATTTTTTCTCTTTCAAAAATCAAAAATATATATTTTCACTAAAAAAATAAAATCCAAAAATAATAATAGTGAGGAGCGGATGTCAAAAACGTTTAAGAAAATAGTTAGAAATTGGTTGAGGATGTTCACAAATACAAATATTAAAATTTAGCAGTATATATTGGACTAGTGGAAGCCTTAGTGACAAATAAAATTCAATTTGATGAAAAAAAATTCAAAATCAAATGTGTATGAACTTAATTAAATTTTATTTAAGGTTTAATTGAATTTATAGAGGGTTTGATTGCAAAAAAAATAATTAGTTTTGAAGTCAATTTAGGTTTTAATTGAAAAAAATTAGAGTTCTAGGGTCAAATTATAATTTTTTAGAGTTAATTTGGTCAAATCAGGAGCTTAATTGCATAAATATTGAAGTTTGGTGGCCAATTAGGGACTTAATTGAAAAAATATGAAACCAAGGACTAAACTGAAAAAAACATGTAAATAAAGGGCCTGTAATTAATCGAATTGTGGGCCAAATTAAATAAATTAAAAGTGTATTGATCAATTGAGGGTCAAATTGCATACATTAAAGACCAAGGGCTAAAGTGAAAAAAATGACTAGCTTTAAGGCCTACAATTGAATTTGACAGAGATATAATTGAATTGATTTTTACAATCAAAATTGCAATTGAGGACTTGATTGAACAAATCACAATTTGAGAATGGATGTGAACTTTAACATGTTTTTACCGCTTTTTTCTTTTAAATAAAATGATGTGTTTTGTCCAAATTAGCGTAATTTCATCCACTGTTT